GAAGAGACATGAAGAAGAGACATGGAGAAGAGGGGACACATGCTGATGTAGAGGAGACATGAAGAAGAGGGGACACATGTTGATGTAGAAGAGACATGAAGAAGAGGGGACACATGTTGATGTAGAAGAGACATGAAGAAGAGGGGACATATGTTGATGTAGAAGAGACATGAAGAAGAGGGGACACATGTTGATGTAGAAGAGACATGAAGAAGAGACATGGAGAAGAGGGGACACATGCTGATGTAGAAGAGACATGAAGAAGAGGGGACACATGTTGATGTAGAAGAGACATGAAGAAGAGGGGACATATGTTGATGTAGAAGAGACATGAAGAAGAGGGCACACACGTTGACATGAAGAAGAGACATGAAGAAGAGGGGACACATGTTGATGTAGAAGAGACATGAAGAAGAGGGGACACATGTTGATGTAGAAGAGACATGAAGAAGAGGGGACATATGTTGATGTAGAAGAGACATGAAGAAGAGGGGACACATGTTGATGTAGAAGAGACATGAAGAAGAGGGGACACATGTTGATGTAGAAGAGACATGAAGAAGAGACATGAAGAAGAGGGGACACATGTTGATGTAGAAGAGACATGAAGAAGAGGGGACACATGTTGATGTAGAAGAGACATGAAGAAGAGGGGACACATGTTGATGTAGAAGAGACATGAAGAAGTGGATTTTGCATAATAGGTGACTATACAGATAAACTAACCTTGAACCTTAATAGAAAGAATGCAGGTCTGCTATAGAGTCCTGTGGTGCGTTCAGGGTCAGTGCGTACCTGCGATGCAGCCGTGGGACTGTTGAACATGGTGGAACCAGAGGGACGGCAGGAACAGCATCTCTCCCGCCTTCACGCTGCAGCGGACCGGCTGAGCGCTGCCGTACTGAGGGAACCGGTCCAGGTCCGGGTCGAGAGGGTCCAGAGGGATCCACGGGACCTGAGAGTAAGTTAAGTTTATTGACTTTACAACAAATATACTTCCACCAAAACCTGCCTGAACTGTCAGTCCCAATTAAATAATATATATACAAATCTTTACTGTTGAAAATCGCTTTTTAAGTCCTTTCAAAAATATATGACATAGTTACATAGTTATTTGAGATATTCTAAAATAAAAATCTCCTAAAGATTTAAAATATATATATTACGTTTCCACTTCAACCCGGTGTGTTTGTCTTCTCTCACTTTGCTCGTAAACAAAGATAGGGGTCGTTAAACGTTAAAGTAATGTGTAAAGTAACGATAGCTAGTATGGAGCTCCTGTGCAGTCACTGTGAAAGTCCCATAGAGAGACAAGCCAAAGGGTATAAAAGGAAGTCTTTATTGACATTAATCGATTTAAAGAGCGCAGAGAAACTCCTCTGACGGGGTTAAACCCACGTTCTTCTGACCCGAGCTCCACCAACAATGCAACATGTATAATAGAATTAAAAAATACAAATAAAAAAATGGGGCAAGAAGTACAGAAACTCGTGATATTTACAGACACCTGAACGCACCTTCTCAGAGTCGCTTTGGTCGACGACCTCAAACTCCCCGTCGTCTCGCTGATGGTAAACAGCCGGCTGGTACATCCCTGATAGAGACCACAGTTACTATGGTTACTGTAGGTTGTACACAGTGGTTACTATACTTGGAGGGGGTTACTATGGTTACCATAGGGGATGAAGGGTCGGTCTGTGGGCGGCAGCAAGATGAAGTTTTTCTCTCCAGAAATCACACAGTACAGATTCTCATAGTGATCTTTGTGCACTGAAAAGAGAATACAAAATACAGATATTTATATATATTTTTTCATATTTATGTATATGTTAAGCTATACCTAAAGTGGGGTGTTGTGTTCAGGTCTTACTGGACGTTACGGCGCTCGCTTCTCCAAGCCAGAAATTCACTGCATCTGGTAACTTTCCTAAAAGATAAAATATGTATGAAGTTGAAGGAATAATTTGTGATGATGATTCTCCATAAACAGTGATGCACCAACATCTATGTATTACTTTGAAACATTATCATCTGTATAAAACTACAGGTATGACTGGAGTCACATTAAACATTAAAATGGTAGTTGGATTACATGAGCTCAGTTTTAACCACGCAGGCCACCATCTGCGTAAACAACATGGTGTAATAGAGAGAAAAACTAAGCAAAATTTGTTTTTCAAAACTTTCACATAAATACTTAAACACAGAACAAATGTAATAATTTAAAACGTATAAAAAGTATGACTTAAAAAAAAAGGAAATCTCTATTGTTGTAGTTCTCCTCCAGGCCGCCGGCGGCAGCACTGAGCTCACTGCGTAAAGCCGGCGCCATCTTCGATTCTACACAAACTTTACTTCACCTGAATAAGTTCAGTTTGATAACTTTACAACAACTATACTTCCACCGAAACCCGCCTGAACTGTCACTTATAAGTTTCCATTTCAAACCGGCGGATTTGTTTTGTCTAATTTCGCTCTTAGAAAAAGATAGGGGTCGTTAAACGTTAAAGTACCGTGTAAAGTAACGATAGCTAGCATGGAGCTCCTGTGCAGTCACTGCGAAAGTCCCATAGAGAGACAAGCCAAAGGGTATAAAAGGAAGTCTTTATTGACATTAATCGATTTGAAGAGCGCAGAGAAACTCTTCCCGGGTTTAAACCCCCGTGAGGCGTTTCTATGTTTCTCTTGTGTCCGTCAGGTGTACCAGAAAACTAAGAAAAACGGTAAAAGGCGTGTTTTTGTGGACCCAAACGCCCCCTCTTGTGCGGCTCCTTCAACCCGGCCTGCCTCCTCTATTCCGGGGGAACCGCCGCCTCTGAAGAAGCTCAGGAAAAGACTCAAAACTCAGATGAACGAGCACGACTATGCGACCCAGGACAAGGACCCCGGATCCCGTAGACCTCCGGCGGCCAGACGCCTCCGCCGAGGGCCGGTGTCCCAGGTACAGTGGTTAAAAATAATTAATAATTAAGATTACATATAATTATATTTGCTAATATCCAGCAGCAGTAGCCTACATACAGTCAGTAAATTAAAATGAGCTCCATCTTTACCAGCTGTGAGGGAGATATTAATACATCAATAATCAAAATTCTGTCATTTAATATGTTTGTGAAATTACTTTAGCCTACTGTAGTTGAGTACACATTTGAGGTACTTGTGCTTTACCCCAGTATTTTCATTTTATAACACGAATACTTCTACTTTACTATTTTTTGGGAGCCAATGTTGTACTTTATACTCTACTGTATTGTGTTATAACAGATTTTTACTTTTATACATTTATATTTTTGACAAACAATAATTAGGAAGAACTTAAAAAAATATGATTATTAGGTATAGATGAAACTATCCAACATTATATCTATGTAACTATAATAATCAGTGGGTTAGCAGAAAAGTTATTTGGCTGCAATTTTGCTAAGAAATGTTTTGTTAAAAATAAAATATATTCCACAACTTCTTAAATGAGAAGATTTATTTAAAAATATTGAAATATTCTTTTTAGTTTTTCCCCTTAAATACTTCTACTTAAGTACCATTCTCGGTGCAGTTCTTTCACTTGATATTGAGTATGTTCACAGAGTGTGGTATGAGTACTTTTACTCAAGTGAAGGATCTAAATCCTGTTCCACCTGTGCTCAGGTGAGTGGGTTCCTGAGGAGGAGGAACTTCAGCTCCGCTCTGAACCGCCTGCTGCAGGAGTCCGGCTTCAGAGAGGCTCTCATCAAAGTGTGCGGGAAAATTATTTCTAACGAGGTGAGACGAGGTTATAAAATGTATTTATTAAAACAGGTTAAAGTTACAGGGACTGAACATGAGGTTCTTACATTGCTTTAAACAACAGGGTTTCACCATCAAGAAATCACCGTTCTCAGAATTCTGAAAAAAACCTCAAATTAATCTGATTTATGAAAAAACGTACTAGAAATGTGACTTGTGAAGACGTTTATTTTATGGTTTTACCTTTTTTTTCTTTTTTAATATGATTAGTTTTGTGAAAATTCAGCGGTTTCTTTAAAAAACTATAATTTCAAGTTCCATTTCATGAGACCCAATGACCCAAATCTATGCAGAATTGCACACCGGTCACAGAGGAGACACCTGTTTTATAGGTTTTAACGTTTTTTATAGTCTGTTTTAATGTATTTTATTTAAGCGTAAACAGATGGTGAACGACCTGGAGGGGCCGTTCAGAAAGCCCTTCAGCCCTGAGAACCTGTCTGCCTTCAGCTGGGATCAGACTACTTCCTGGGCCGAGGGTAAGGCTCCTCTGACTGTAGCCTGCCTCCGGTCCATGTTCCCCCCCGCCAAAAAGATCCAGAAACTGACCGTCAACTACAGTCCTGGGAACAAACCACGGTGGGTCTAAACTGTTACTCTTTAAGGATATCATGGACATACTTTACTACAGGGGTGTTCAACTCAATTTCATCGCGGGCCAGATTAGCATTATGGTTGCACTCAAAGGGCTGGTTGTAAATGTAAGACTATATATATATATATATGTATATATATAAAATAATATATTTTATTACATTATTGCCTCTGCATTGGATTATTATCGGATAGGGTAATAACTTCATAATTAACTACGTCTGAAAGCAGAAGTCTAGCGCAAATAATTGCAAGTCTCTGCAGCGCGCATGTCATGAAATGAGATGCATTGTGGGACATGTAGTTTATGGACAATGTGCTTCTGTAAAGCGGCATGTAACCGTATAATAAACGTATTATATTCTTTCAGAGCTCTTGCGGGCCACATTAAATGAAGTCGGGCTATGAGTCCAACACCGCTGCTTAACTATGACTTTTATACATGATATTTGCAACACCAGTGTAACCTCTCCTCAAGGTTTCTTCCATTGTTCCCCATTAACTGTGGGTTAAAGTTTTTCCTTGTACGATGTGAGGGTATAAGGAAAGAGGGTGTCGTATTGTTGTATTGATATTCTGTACAAACTGTGAAGTCCACTATGATAAATGTGATATTGGGCTAAATAAACATTGATTGATTGATTGATTGACAGTGTATGATGATTGCTCTTCTTGCAGGCGGATGACGGAGGAGGAGGTGAAGCAGATGTTGGAGCGCAGGATCTGCCTCCTCCTGTCCGTGCCTCTCTACACCAGCTCCCTCAGGTCCTGCTTCCTGCAGACGGCCTTCAGCGTGGAGATGCTGCGTCACCGCTGCCCCGTCACAATCTTCTCCGTCACCAACAGCCTCGGCCTCTCGATGTCCAAAACCACCGCCAGGATCCACGTCCGGAAACTCGCAGAGGAGCACGAGCGAACGGTGAAGCGGTGGAGAGACGAAATCCAGGTGAGGGGAGCGGGGAGGGGG